TTGTTACTATAGCTATTTGCACAACGTGCAGAAAGAAACACAGTGAAGAAGTAGATCGGAAATCAGACTGGCTATACCCTGAGGAAACTGAGGGAGATGTGCTCCTTCAAAGGTACTGTCGGGAGGGTAGTCGTTTGGTTGTTGTTTTATAAAAAACACACACACGGTTGTCCTGTCAGGTTATCCTATCGCAAGGCAACTAAGTAGCAACCTTTCCATTTTTATTCTCCGCAGACCTGCTAAAGAGGCTGCTGTGGGAGCCATCGGTCGCATGGTCACTTCAACTCCATTTCTTGAAGACCAATCAACGCCAGCTTCCTCGAATCCGATAACACCATGCTGGACTCCAGGGTCAGAGGAGGCCTCTTTAACTTCACCCGTGGTAACCGATGCAGTCGGCAGGTATAACGAGGCGATGGATACAATTGCGAGTCTTACTACACAAGAACAAGTAGAACGCGAACCTCTTAAATATCAGCTTAAAACTCCATTCCAAAATTTAAGCGATGGGGAACAGCTGAAATTTGTAAAAACGGCTAAAGAGGACTGCTTGCACGTATGTAATGTAATTGCCCCAGGTAACGGAGAGGAGCTCTTCGAGTCAATGATGTCTGTACAAAGAGAATTATTTGATGGCGCAGTCCCCGATGATCTTGTGGTACTCATGACTGCTTATAAGAACGCAAAGACCAGGAATTTAAAGAAACAGATTCTGAGCCTTTACGCTCAAAGATACCCTATGACCAAACTGAAGAAAATTCACCAACCTTACGGAAGTCTCTCTACATGGGAAATAAAGCAAGCACGTTCTCATGCTAAAATGCACGGTCCTGGGACCATCCCTGAAATCAAGATGAAGCATCGCGTACGCCTTGATATGGGGAAGGTCGACCACTTTGTAGAGTTCATTAATAGACCGTACTTTTATCAGGATGTTTCATATGGTAACAAGGTACTCACCCTAGATAATGGTGACAGAATTGAGATGCCTAACGTTGTAAGGATCCTGACCAGGTCTACAATGATTGAGCAATACTTGGAGTATTGCAAAGAGCAATGTCACGAGCCACTTAGTAGGTCTACTCTGTTTAAAATATTGGAGGTTCGAGAAGCGTCTCCGCGTAAATTGCTCCAGGGATTGGACAATACGGCTGCAGATGGTGCTGCGGGCTTTCAGACTATTGAGACGCTGGTTGAAACTCTTGAGAAGGGAGGAATGGAGAAACAGTGGTGTTTACGTATTTGCCAAAACCTACGCGATGCTAAACGCTATCTCAAAACTGACTACCGTGTACACTGTCAACAGCATTACTCTACTTGTGCTGACCACTGTAGAAAGTTTGCACTTAGTGATCCTGTTGATCCCGAGCTCCAGCATCCTTGTCCGCATCAGCATCAATCGACTTGCGAGCAATGCCAAGGGCTGAAGGATGTTCTAAAGGAAGTGAGACTAGCGATTGAAGGGTCGTCATGGAAGCCTTACAGTTGCGAACAACGAGAAGATGTCCTTTACGACTTTGACCGTGCACAGTCAGACATCTTGCTGTGGAAAGCGCACATTGTACACTCAATAAATCAGGAGGAGGCGAAACAAGATGCACTGAAATCAGAAGACCCACAGTCAGCCATTCTGATCATGGACTGGGCCATGAAGTTCCTCCAAATAAAATTTCGTGAGAAACAGTCTGAATGGTTCGGCAAACGGGGGCTCAGCTGGCATATTTCCACCTTTATAACTAAGAATGTTGACTCTGGAAAAATTGAGCTGCAATCGTATGCTCATATCTTCGACTCTTGCCAGCAAGACTGGTACGCAGTATGCTCGATCATCGAAAACACACTTGAGGTTGTAAAGAAAGAACATCCCCAGATTACCCAAGTGAACCTAAGGAGTGACGAAGCAGGCTGTTACCACAATAACTTTCTCTTAGCCGCCGTTAGAGATGCCGGAAGACGAGTAGGCATTTAAGTAGCACGGTATGACTTTTCCGAGCCGCAGTATGGAAAAGATATCTGTGATAGAATCCTTTGTCCAATGAAATCATCCATCCGACGATATTGCAATGAAGGACACGATGTCGTTTCTGCGAAAGACATGCGTGTAGCGCTTTCAGAACGTCCTGTTCAAGGTACAACTGCCTCCGTGTGCGCAATGAATGAGACTCAAAAGACACTCGAAGTACATAAGATAGAAGGTTTCAGCAAGTATCACAATTTCAAGTTTGAAGTGAAAGGAATTAGAGCATGGAGAGCTTATGGTGTTGGACTAGGCAAGTTTATTCCTTACCGAGAGGTCATAACTGAACCTCAAGGTCCTACTGGTCTCATTGTGCATGAAAACTTCTTTCCTCTCAAAGAAGCTCGAGTGTATAAGAGAGAAAGAAACAGTGAAAATGAACAATGCAAGGGTCTTTTCTCTTGTTCTGAGCCCGGGTGCAACATGGTTTTCAAGAAATTCAGTGAACTCGAAAATCACCTTGATGTTGGTGAGCACAGCCAAGTTCGCGGAAACTCTGATACGGTGTATGACAAGCTCAGAAGAGACTGGGCGGAGAAATTTCGTACTGTTGATAAGGACGAAGAAATCAGAACCGTGCCTGAAGCAGTTGTACAGGAGTATCATGAAAAGAATAAAACTGGCAGCTCTTCCGAGTGCAGTGACTTGCAGACTGGATGGGCTCTACACAAGCCCCGAAACGAAGCTGTGCGTTTTCCTACCGAGGTTAAACAGTACCTAACAACGAAATTTGATCTTGGAGAAAGAACTGGCATCAAGTCAGATCCCACAAAAGTGGCAGTAGATATGCGAACTGCAAGAAACCCAGACAGTTCTCGGATGTTTGAGAGGAAACATTGGCTCACAAAGGGTCAAGTACAGGGATTTTTTTCGAGGCTAGCGGCCTCGCGAAGAAGCAAAGCACATCGGGAAGCGCTCAATGAAGACGTAGAGGCGGAACAGGAAGAGCAGGAAAGACGAGCCACCCTGGAAGAGGTAGCCACCCACCTTGGTCCTAAGCATCCGATCTGCTATGATTCATACTGTTTATGTGACCTTTCACACGAGAAGAAACTTGAAACATTTAGCGTTGCTATGCTCAAGGACATGTTGAAATACTTTGAAATTCCTTTTAGTTCTCGCGATAGAAAAAAATTCTTGTAGCGAACCTATCGGAATTTCTTGAAGGCTGTGACTGTAACCAGCCACGTTAAGGCACAAACCGCTATTATAGTAACCAACAGGTTTTTCAACCTCGAGTTCAAGAAGATCGTGGAGGCAGTTATTTTTCAAACACTTGAAAAGACGTTTTAAGATCTTTATACTTTTTGAAATTCCTTTTAGTTCTCGTGATAGAAAAAAATTCTTGTAGCGAACGTATCCGAATTTCTTGAAGGCTGTGACTGTAACCAGCCGCATTAAGGCACAAACCACTATTTAATATAGTAACCAACAGGGTTTTTCGACCTCGAGTTCAAAAAGATCGTGGAGGCAGTTATTTTTCGAAAACTTGAAAAGACGTTTTAAGACCTTTATACTTTTTGAAAAGTCGAATTAGAAAAGAACATGTTTTTTTGTCAACCGTACTAAAAAGGTACATACGCGTGACAAGCTAAAAGACTGACATTCACGCGTAGCCAGCGTGACGGGAAATTAACACTGTTCAGATGATTTGAATTTCGGCTGTAACGTACCGGGTGTTTTTAATAAAATGTGTAATTCTTTTAAACAGGACTCACTTTCGTCAAGTAATTATATGCTTAACCTGAATGAAAAGCTTTTTCTTTTTTTGTTGATCAGGAAAACCTACGACCAATTTAATTGAATGAAATTTTGTAAACGGCTTTTAGAAGTAAACTTAGACGACTGACAACTTACCCCGGAATCGATAATTTCGACTATTAAACTTCGCAATTCCTAGTTTCGTGTAGCATTTGGTAAGTTGTTAGCTGTTCACAGTTTATCTCGAACAATAAAGGCCACTTTTAAATACATTTGCTCTCTCGGTTTGATTTTCAGTGGGAAAGTTCGGAATCCGTCAAAATGCGTAAATTACGTCATACGCACAATTACAGTAAAATATTACCCAACTTTATCGAACTCTTGTGCTTCGGAATCAACAGTGCCCAAAAATGTTTTTCTTGATTTCGATACACTAGCCCTATTACTGAACAGGGAGGGTGACCAAGACTCCAGATAACGTCAGACTTTTGAAAAAAGCTTATTTTAAAACTAGGATAGCCGCGCATTTTTTTCAAGGACGCTTTACGTGGTATTTTCAAAACATCATAACTCGTTTTTTTAAAGTCAGAATTTAAATATTTTGCCTTTTTTGAATAAAGGAAGCATGAATTAAAATCACACTTTTGTTTTATGCTATTTGGATAAATGCGAAATTTTTGCGAGCTTTGAACAAAACGCTTAAATTTGACCTTCAAAAAGACGATCATGACAGCTTTGGACCGTCCAGGCAAATCGCCGCCCAAATTGTTTTAAAAAAGCAGTATGAGCCAAACAAATTCGATTTTTGTTAATGGAATGGGCTAATTATGTTGCAGAAAAAAAATGAAGGAATTCTGTTTTCCGCGGAAATTCGAGTGGTCGGTTCTTACACGGACCGCCTCTTAAGTGTCGATCGACAGTTACTAAGTGTCGATCGACAGTTACTAAGTGTCGATCGACAGTTACTAAGTGTCGATCGACAGTTATTAAGTGTCGATCGACAGTTACGTAAGTGTCGATCGACAGTTACTAAGTGTCGATCGACAGTTATTAAGTGTCGATTGACAGTTACTAAGTGTCGATTGCTAGTAAAAAGAGTAACTTTCCATGTCCCTAATGGGCCACCGTAGGAAACGATTTTCATGATGAACTGTTTGGAGGTGAGGGGATTGATGTTGCTGTGGAAGATGCTGTTTCTGCAATTGGTGACCACTGTCACATCACTGGTATTGTGCAGGAGTATAATGTGTTTGGTGCGGATTCGCTGAATCAGTTTGCTGCAGTGATAAACTTGATTCTCCAACAGAAGCAGTCATTCCATGTGTTAGTGGTCAATGACAAAACAATGATTATCATTGTAGACAGTAATGGAACTTTGATTTTCTTTGACTCTCATATTCATGGCCACCATGGAGCCTTGGTTGCTCGAAGTGACCCTTACCAGGGCCACCAGGCTCAATCATTTTCAAACTGGGTCGATGACATGCTAAGAAAAAGTCATAGTGTGGGTCTTGCTATTTGCTCATTGACCACAGTTGGTTACTTTTGAGCAAAATTGAACTGTGGACAATATGGGGGTCAGATTCCGTAAGAGTTAACAATAGTTTGCATTATCCCCTGCAGTAAGGCTGTCACTAAGATTTCAAAGTGTGCTCGGATATATGCTAGAATAATTATTAGTAAAAGGTGGATCAAACAGGTAGAATTTTCTTTTAGTTCTATTTTCCCTATGTTTCCAATGAAAGTAATGGCCTGTGGTGTACTCTTAGTGACAGCCCTGATGCAACCATGGATGCAAATCTATTGTGGTTTTACTTGATGCCTGGTTCCAAAAATCTAAATGCCTTGATAGTATCTTTATTATTATACTACCATATACAAATCAAAGTAAAATGGAAATTGACTCACAACATTGCCAGACAACAGTCTCCATTTATTTCTCATTTTTATCCCTGGTTCATTTTTTACTATACTTTGTTTTGACCGTGGTAATTTAATGATGAATACGAATCAAAGGACAATTAAATCTTGATCATAAAGATTCAGTTTTAGGGGTAATTTTTCTGTTTCCAAAATAGTTAACCTGTATCTGCAGAGAGTAATTTTAAGAGTACGCCATGAAATTTTTTTGAAAAAAGTGTTTTGAAAAAACCAACGGAATAGTGCATGGAAATCTGTGCCACCAAAACTAGTTTCTAATGGTGGGAAAGGACCTAACATGGTTTCAGGGGCCACAATAGGCTTACCAAGAAAAACTGATTTACATAATATTGAGTAAACCAGTGTTTTGAAATAGTTGTTATAATGTCCAATGCAACTGACAATTTTTTGGGTTGTGGGAGAGGTTGGGTGTGGAATGCTCATGGAAGTAAAAGCTTGCTGTTGCTATTATAGGCATTGAAGCAGAAAATGACTATGAAAATGGGAAACATAAGATTGTAAATATTTTTTGTCATTTTTATGTTTGCAACTCCCCCATTTCAGCTTTTCAAGACTTTTTGCTCAATACATAACCTTGAGTACATAAATCAGGAAATTTGATTCAGTATTCAAGTTTACTTTTCTAATAAAGCTTGTTGGTTTTCCTTTATTTTATTCTTCTCTTTGAACTTCCTTAACTGCCCAGTGTTTACATCCCGTTTTTGTTTGTTTTTTCTTGAAGGGGGTGGGGGAGGGGGGGTGGTAGTTAAAGGGATCTGCAGCTTTATTCACTTGCTGCTCTCACATCTGAAAAGATTGAACGGATTTGGATAAAACAAGAAGAGATAAAGACAAATTTATGAAGAAACGCCAACTTAAGTGAAAGAAAATTTTTATTTGGCACGTACTGTATTACACACTGATTTCAAAAGTAAAAAAATTGAAAATTGGAAAATATTGAAAGTAAGGCAATGTCACGTATCGCCAGAAACGATAGTAATTCATAGATAAGAGAAAACTATAAAAAATACAAAAGGTCTGCGATTAAGAAATTCTATGACAGAGTCTCCTCACTCGACTACACCCTAAGAGCACTGTTGGCAAATAATGCAGAGGAATCACTATTTTCAAACCGAATTTCCTTTCAATCAAAGGGATCAGAAAATGCTTATGAGGTTATTCACAGATAGGCATGAAATGATCCGAAAGTAGGTAGACGTGTATCAAAGGTTACAAGTCCAGGTCCTGGATTTGGCAAGCTAAAACAAATCTTATCTGATTGTAACTAAATTCTTCTAGGTTGTCCCAGACAGTACGTAGTCTCCTGTCGTTGCTTGACATAATTTCGCCCTTTATCCGTTCAAATGACCCTACGCTAATAGCCAGATACTTGGCCATTGTCTGGTGGTCCATGTTACACCTCTGCCGTGGCTTGGGCGACCTTCAGTTCATCTGCCAATTGTTGAAAGTTTTTCTCCATTTTCAGTCCCTCGGCAACTAGATGTTTTTTGGGTGACGGCTTGTTTTGTCCATACATCTCTCGAAGTTCCGTCTTCTCAGCTGTCTTCTATGTGCCAAAAAAAAAACGTTTTTGAGAATTTGCAACAATAATTACTTGCACAAAAGGTTGTCCGTAATAATCGTAGTCTACTTACACAAGTATCAGTCTTGACACTTTTGGATCCTGAGCCTTCGTCTCCACGTGGTTGACTGGATCTTTTCCTGGATTGCGGATAGAAAATAGGGGAAAAATGAATATCGCAAATTTGACTGCATCCTAATCAAAGCTATCAAAAACGTCCTGAAAGTATGTTTCGACGACTTGCCTTTTGTCCATCTTGTGTGTTCACAACAAGTAATAACCTAGCAGATCGGACTTTATGATGAGCTCAGCCTGAAAAGAAGAGCAACAATAGAAAATGACCGGAAACAGAACAGAGGCTTCTTCCAATCGCAAGGTGACAATTTTTCGTACGTTGTGATTAGAACACCACTGCGTGAGAGATTTCAATCACGTACGTATTTGTTACACGAAACGTGGTCAAAATGATCGAAGTTCTGTTCTTTTGGCCTCTTGTTTTTGAGTATCTTGAGCCAGAAGATCTTGTTAGTGTATCGTCTGTTTGTCTTGCCTGGTGGCGATTTGTATTCCAAGGCCGCAAATCAACTGCCAGAGCATTGCATCATTGCCAACAACTTCACTTAGCCGACATGGGAAAGCAGTATCGAAATATTCCGCTACGTTATTTCTCAGAGTTAACGTGGATAAACCTAACAAGAACCACGATCTCATCAGGTGATTTCCTTAAACTTGTTGGAACAGCTAAACATCTTGAGATGGTGAACATTGAAAGCTGCAGCAGAATATCTGAAGAAGCGATATTTAAGGCTAAAAGGTTCCTTCCCTGTTTGAGAAGAATAAACATCTCCTTCAACGATCAGTTGAGCGTTCTTGCGGTGGCTTGTTTGTGTTCCTGTTCTTCCTTACGAGATATCCGTGCGAGAGGAATAAAGCTGCAGGCAAAAGAACTATTGTTTCTGACAAGGACTTTTCCCCGACTTGGAAATGGACGCCTAACTCTGGACATTGGTTTCGAGGGAGGTGATTACTTTGTGGATGCAATAGACGCCTTGTCAGACTTTGTTCTTTTTTGAAAAGATTCGCGCAGTTCAGGGTTAAAATTTATAGCTATGTAAGAAAAAGATTCGCGCAAATCGCGCAGGGATTATTGCGAACGTCTTTCACATTATTTTTCATTGTTTTGTTCTGATGCTGGAAAACGCGAAATTTGGTGTCAGGTTTATGCGCGGAAACTTCAGCCAATGATGTTGGCTGTAAATGACGTTTCTGTCATCGCAGATAGGAAAGATAACAGGTATTTTGAGCACTCAAGTAGTCTTGACGAATTTTGAAAATTTCCTCACATACAAATTTTCTGATAATTACTTGGTTTAATTGTTTCGTCAAATATGTATGTAACGTGTTAAATTTAGGTTTGAAATCACTCTGTAAGGATTATTTTTTGATGAACGCTCGTTTGAATTTCGCGCTAATGTTTCTTTGACCAATAAAAAATGGAATTACTAATCTAATTAGTAACTGAACAGCTCAACTCTCCAACGGTTCCCGGTGCCGCCGGCCTATTGTTTTCACTTTCCGTCTTAGGCGAAGCGCTACTTAATAAAATAATTATTCCACTTGCGCTTGTTGGATGAGATGATTATTGCCAACTCGGTGCTATGCGTCTTGTTGGCTATTTTCCATCTCATATCCAACGTGCCCTCGTGGAATAATTGTTAATTATAAAATAACTAAGATAGTACGTGCATTCTGATTGGTTAAAAACCAATAGTTTATTGTGCCGGTAAAATCATAGAAAACTGAAACATGCTTTAAAGTTATTTTATAAAAGTAAAAGACCACATTTTCTAAAGGTTTGCTGGTGTGATAACCCACTTGGGATGTTGGGAGAAGACTGGAAAAGCTTGTAAACCACCAGCTTAACTTCTCAGATCTCTGGGCCTCATGCCCCCAAACCCCCCCTTAGATACGGTACTCTCGCTTTGCCAGCACTTGGTGTCAGGCACCAGTTACTTTACATTGGGAGCTGGCTACTCTAAAACTTCTGGAGAACACTGAACAATAGAAATATATAAGAACCAATGAGCCTCAGGTGTAACAATCTGCTTGCTTATCTTCTTAGCCATGGAGGAACATGAAAGTCAGGTCCTCCAGGTTGAATGTAGCAGAAAATGCTCTCTGCTTGGTGAACAAGAGCAAAGTCAATCAGCAGGTACTGATGTAGTTCATGGTAGATGGTATTTATTATAAAACTTAATAATATACATGGAAAAATTTCTTGAATGAGATTGGCTTAGAGCAGTGCAGTTTTTAGTAAACACAGTAAAAAAAACAAGGAAACATAATGCAAAAATAAGGAAATAAAGTGCAAATTTCTCAGAGAATTAAAACCTGTGAACAATCAGTGTTCTCCAGAAGCGCACGCGACTGGTGGTTTCGCTGACTACTCTTATGACTCAAAACAGTAAAAAAAACTGTCTGTACCTTTTATCTTGAATTTTTCAGAAGCTCCTAAAAGAAACAAAAACAATAACTTGTCGTACAAAAAGCTCTTTGGTGTATGACAATTTGCCTTTTGCTAATGGTATTATCAATATATTTACTGAATGATTTTTGATGAGACATTGCCAGATAATATTTTTTAATTATAAAATAACTAAGATAGTACATGCATTCTGATTGGTTAAAAACCAATAGTTTATTGTGCTGGTAATCTCATAGTAAACTGAAACATGCTTTAAAGTTGTTTTATAAAAGTAAAAGACCACATTTTCTATGGATTTACCAGCATGATAACTCACTTGGTTCTTGGGAGAACTCTGGAAAAGCTTGTAAATAACGAGCAAAACTTCTCAGATCTCTGGGCTTAATGCCCCCAAACCCCTCCCTTAGATACAGTACTCTCGCTTTATCAGTGCTTGGTGTCAGGCACCAGTTTCTTTGCTTTGGGAGCTGGCTATTCTAAAACTTCTGGATAACACTGAACAATAGAAATATATAAGAACCAATCAGCCTCAGGAGTCACAATCTGCTTGCCCAACTTATTAACATTATATCTTATCTTCTTAGCTATAGAAGAACATGAAAGTGAAGTCCTCCAACTTGAATGTAGCATGGAAAGCCCTCTGCCAGGTGAACAAGAGCAAAGTCATTCAGCAGGTACTGATATACCGGTAGTTGTTTATGGTAGATGGTATTTTATTATGAAAGTTAATAATATACATGAAAAAATTTCTCTGTGAATTTGATTGGCGTAGAGCAGTGTACTTTTTAGTAAACACAATGCAAAAACAAGGAAACATAATGCAAATTTATCAGAGAATGAAAAACTGTGATTGGGCCAATAAACAATAGAAATTTATCAGAACTAATTAAGTGCCACAATTTGCTGGTGGGAAGCATGTTAACTTTTAAAACTTCCCCCTTTTTGGTGTAATTAATTATGCTCTGTTGTCTTACCTAAGTAATCTTTCCTTTTTCTTGTAACACTTTTTTTCTCAATATTTTATTTTAAGAATTTACCTGATTATTTTTATTTATTTATTCATTGTGGGTTGTTTTTTTTTCATTTTTGTAACCAAGATTTTGAAATTAATAAAGGTGTGGGTGGGCGTGTGTGTGTAACAAATATAAAGAATGTTAAAACTTTCATATATATATTTTTTACATGGACTCAAAAGAGCAGCTATATAATCAGTGATTTTGTTACCTCTGCATTCTATCTATGTTCCTGACACATAAAAATCGCCAAAGACATAAAATAATTCATGGATATATCGATCTGAACGTGTGTATTTGTAGAAATATCCCGTACGTGTAATTTCTGTGGCAGTTATGGTTGTTGTTTAGTGATGCATATTGGTTTTAGCCTTTGTCGACTCCTGCTTTAAAATAGAAGAACTATATTTCAATTTCAGTATACTATAATACAGAGGTTTGGAGTGTGTCTTCAGATTAACTGTCTGCGGCTGGTACATAAAGGCCCAAACATTTTCCATTTTGGACTCATTTTTTTTTAACTGGGACTCATTGGTTCTGGACTGGGACTCCTGATTTCTCACAAGATGAGTCCCAGAATTCATCGTATTTATTTGTAACAAAAACACTGTATAATTCATTGATTAGACCTTTTGTCGTGTAATTCAAGTGTTGTTGTTGTGGTAAACATGACAAGTCATCATGTCTGTACTTAATTCTCCATGACTGGATTGTAGGATTTTTGTTCTGTTTGTATTTGATCGTGCATTATTATTATGGGAAAACTTACCTTAGGGCTGCATTACTTTGACTAGGACAAAGTTAAAATACATTGAATTCTCATAGAGATAATTATTTTTTGGATTATAATAATGAGTTCATTGGTTGGGTCACTCCCATTATATTTGATGACTGGTTTATCAAATATCAGCACTTAGAAAATGATTGTCAAGGTTGTTGTATTATCCGAAGTTTCAAAAGTAGAAATATTGTGTATTTTCTATTTGAAATCAGGTTTTGAGAACACTTCCACAGATACAGCTTTATAATAGTAATTCTTGTATAGTTATACAAGCATGCAGTACTAGGGTGCGAAGAAAAGGAGGTCAGTTTTGTGCTTGTCCTTCGGGAAGGCTGTAGCTTGCATCTGTTAGCCCAAGAATCACAAGTCTATTATCCTTCAGGCAAGATAAAAAATAGAATCCACTAGCCCCATAGCTTATATGAATTGTGTAGTTGGTTAATACAAATAATTCATTTACTAGGGGAAGAGTTGGAACAACACACTCCTGCAGTAGAAAATGGCCCAATTGAGGGAGCAAGCAATGTGCAGGAAACACAGCAACCTCTTCCAGGAGTAAATAATAGTAGCCACTTAGAAGATGACCGCCTAATTACTAGAGCAAGGGCAGTTGGTGTGGACTATGAGTTTCCAAAGCCTGGTGAAGTGGAAATGGAGGATGACAGAAGAAAAGATTTTATTTACTTGAATCCAGTCCATTCCTTTTTCTCTCCAACAACAATGATATATTAAGAAACATTAGGCTTGGCTAAATCTATATATTATAACATATGTTATATGTTATATAACATAACATAACATAACTTTAAAGCCTATGGAATAGTCATTGTGTAGTAAACATTGCGTGACACGCGACTCCTTTGACTACTTGACATACAAAACGAAGCAAAATTTGAATTTTCCTTTTTATCCTTTTTCCTACCTATTTATGCCCAACCAGTTCTTTGATAAAAAAATTGGGCAGGAGTTAAAACAGAACAATTGAAAATACTTACGTGACC